TTCCTGGCCGAGGGGGGCGGGCTGCTGCTGGCGCTGCGGGCCGAGGGGGCCGACGGCTTCCTGCCCGCCATCGCCGGCGTCCCGGGCGGCCAGGGGCTCGACAGGCGTCGACGGCACGCAAGAGTGGCCCTTCGCCAGGGTGACCTTCCGGTGCGGGCCCACGGCGGCCCCCCCCCGATCGCCGAAAGCGGTAAGATATGATTAGCAGTGACCTGCGCGCTCGGGTCGAACCCCTCCGCGCCCCCCTGAAGCCGCGCACCAGGGATCACGCTTGCCTGAGGTAGGTCCATAGGGCGTTGGCGCGCTGGCGACGAATGCGGAGGCGTTGAAGGCTGAATCGGAAGCACAGTGGGTTGCAGTAGCGCCACTGGACCCGACAGAGTTCGGCCTCGAACGATCGGGGCCGCGATCGATTCAAGGCTGCACGATCGACGCGGTGTCAGAAACCTTTGCGCGCGCCGACGCCGCACAAAGCTACCCTGCGGGACCACGCCTGCGTGCAGCCGAGAAAGGCGGGGCGGCTCGCGGGCCGGCCTGGCCGAGTGCATGGTGATGGCCAGGCTGCCGACGGGGGGCCCCGGGCCTCCCCAGACTTCCAGCAGCAGTGCAGACCCAGACCCCCTCGAGTCATGAAAAAGTCACGACGGGAGGTTTCTCCTGCGATTTTGGAGTCTCTGGGGGCCCTTCCCTGGCCTCGGGGCCCTCAACGATTCAGACTGCAGAACCAGCCCCGGGGAATGGGTCGAGATCTCCGGAGTCGACGTGATGAACAGAACATGACGTCCGCGGTCTGGGGAAAGAGCCAAACGGCAGTTTGTGTTTGCGTCGTCTTCAGCGTCATGGGAGCCCTCGCTTGGCCCCAGGACCGTCCAAGAACGGCCCAGGGCGAAGGACCTGTCCCCGGGAAGCGGCCCAGAGCTTCAGACAGCGGAGGTCTGAGTCTGACGATCGGATTTGTTCCATTCCGACATTTGGACCGGATGTCGGCTCGCGGCGGGGCCAGGTTTGGGGCCCTGGGGGGCATCAGAAACGGATCCTGGGCGCAAAACTACCCCTGGAGAAGAATCGGGGACCTCCCCTGTGGCCGCGGGTTGAACAAAAATCACATCGGAGAATGTCTGGGTGCATGGCCAGGCCGCTGACGGGGGGCAAAGAGGAGGGGTCGGTGACCTTCCTGCACGTCGAGGCCCTCCGCTGCTGGCTGCCAGAGGGCGCGCGGCTGGATGTGGTGGTACTGTCGCGGGTCACGGACTTCTTCCTCGGGATGAACGCGGGCACCTGGCTGCGCGTCCGGATCCACGACATGCGAAGAGGAACTTGCATAAACGTGCGGTCGGGATTTTTTGTTGGTTAGCACGTCGCTCCACCGGCTCTGGCCCACCACGCCTCGGCGCAGCGCGCCATCCACCTCGCGGCGTGCACGTGCCGAGATGTTCTGGCCTCCCGCCCCGCGGAGCGGAGCGGCACGCGAGAGCCGCCTGCCAGGCGTGCAGCGCGCCGCAGGGGGCCGCCGCCGAGACACGCTGATTGTCCTCCTCCTCCTCCTCCTCCTCCTCCTCCTCCCCGGAGCTCCCCGGAGCTCCCCAGACGCCCCCGGGCCTCCAGCGCATGTTCCCAACGCAGGGTGCGGGAAGATAGGCATCGGGTCGGGAGGATGGGGCTGGGAGCAGTGCGAAACGCATCGCCCGCAGGCGGCCGGAGGCATCGTGCATCGCACCCGAGCGCTGATTCTTGCTCGTCCCCTTCGTTCTCCCGGCCCCTTCCTCCCAGCACGTTGACCGTTCTCCTCAGGTAAGGTCGGCGCAGCATTCTTGGATCGGCGCCAGAGCCCCCTCCCTGGCGCGCGGAGCGCGCCATGGGGCGGCGCTGCCCTGACCTTCCAGAGAGCTATTTTTTAGCACTGGAAACCTAAAAACCTAAAACGCTGAGCGAAACAGCCTAGAATCAAGACGTAGAATAGCTTTGGGATAGGTTTTTGAGTCGGGTGCTATTTTTTAGCCCTCCTGGAAGGTCAGGGTGTAGGCGCCGCCGGGGGGTCGGCACGGGTCCGAGAGAAGCCCGCACGGGCCCTCTGCCGCTCGCGTTTATGCAGGTCTGCCCTTCTTCGGGCGGGCGGCACCCGTAGCCACGTCCCCTCCGTCTCGGCGTGCTCGGGCCCCCGTATACACAGAAGCCCGAGGCGCAGCGGGCGGGGGCCTGGACATCCATCAGGAGGGGGAAAAACACAGAGACACAATGAATCTTCGATTCCCAGGAAAATATATGGGAAACTATGGGAAGTGGGGGGGAAGGCAGAAACCCAGAAAAGATAGGAAAATATGGGGGATCCTTTTATCTGTGTGTATCTATTTTTGTGTCCCAGGGCCCCTTCAATCCAGCGCTCCAACGTCTTCCATGCGAGGGCCCCCGGAGGTCAGGACCGCTTCTCCCCAGGGCTGGGTTTTCGACCCTGATGTTGTTTTTGTTGACGCTCCCCGGGGCCCCGGAGGTTCGAACATGTAGCGAGAGGAACCTCCCTGACCTTCCAGGAGGGCTAAACAATAGCACCCGACTTAAAAACCTATCCCAAAGCTATTATACCTCTTGGTTCTAGGCTGTTTCGCTCAGCTTTTTAGGTTTTTAGGTCTCCAGTGCTAAAAAATAGCTCTCTGGAAGGTCAGGGCTCTCACCGTGACTTTTTGTCCGTGACCTGAGGGTGTCTGGGCACGCAGTGGATATGTGGCTATGGGGATCTTGCCCGCGGACATCGCCTCGGCCGCCAGGGAGTGGATCGCAGGGCGACGAAACCCACACATGTCCACTGCTTCCTGGTCAGGCCCATCCTGAACCAGGCAGCAGTGTAATTACACGCCACGCCCTCCTGGCTCGGCCAGGAGGGCGTATCCACAGCAGCGTCGACATCGGCGATGCATCGGCGACGTCGACGTGGAGCAAGTCGGGCTCCACATCGAGCCGCATCGCCGATGCATCGGCGATGCGACGCGATCCTTCGACACCACCTACTCCAACCCCATCTGGGAGGCCCAGACTTGGGCACCGACACCAGAGCACCCTCTGTATTGAAACCCAGCTTCAGGATGGAACGAACCTGGCCAGGGAGCATCGAAGAAGAAACAAAAAACATAAACATAAACTTTAGGCGCTTCGCGCGGATTTCTTGCATCCGCGCCCGCCCCCCTCGGCGGCGCCTCCGGCGCGCCAGGGCGGGGGGCCCAGCGCAGATCCAAGAACTCCGCGCGCAGCGCCAAAAGTCTGTGCTTGTGGCGTTGTTTCTTCTTCTTTTAGGTTCAGGGTGGGCCTGGCGAGGGAGCAGTGGACGTGCGTAGATTTGTCGTCGCCCGAGGATCGCCCGCTGCCGCGAGGAGGAGGACGGGCAGGAGGAGGAGGATCCCCCGCGGCCGCAGGGGCCAGGGGGCCGCTCCGCGTGCGTGGCCGACCTGCTCGCGGGCACGGGCCTGGCCGCGGCGGAGGAGGTGGAGGACTCGCCTGGGCTACTGTTAAGTCGGGCCTGTCCCCCTACAGGGGGATTTTCGACGAAAAATTAAAAATACCCTAAAAGTAGTCCAATAATAATCTGGGGACTATTTTTTGTGCATTTTTGTTTGCCCCTTTGGGGCATTTTTGGGGTACTTTTCTAATTTTTCGTCGGAAATCCCCCTGTATGGGGGACACGCCCGACATAAGGCTATTGCCGGAGGCTTCAGTGCTCTATAGGCCTCCAAGCCCAGACCCCCTTCGGGTAATGAACACATCATGGCGGGAGGCCCTTGGGCCCTTGGGAGATCCTCCTCCTCCTCCTCCTCCTCCTCCTCCTCCTCCTCCTCCTCCTCGTTACAGGGCGTCCTGGCCCGCCGTGTTTCCGACGCGCGTGGCACCGCGAAAGCGGCCAGGAGCGGCAACGCCACGCCGTTTTCATTCACTTCTACTCCGGCCTGGGTCAGGGGCCACGGCTCGCAGGTCCGGAGTTGTACAGCGTTTATCGTCTCGTTTCAACTGTGGAAGCAGGGGAAGAACGACTCGGGATGAAACACCGGCCCTGGGGGATGGGTGAGGGCTCTGCCCGGGGCTTCAGTGCTCTAGGCTTAAGTGGGGCATGACCCCTTCTGCAGGAGGAAAGTTCGAGAATAGTAAGCAACTAGCCTGGGGATGTTTTTTCGGACCATCGGATTTTTTCGTGTTTTTGTTTGCAGATTTCTGGAACATTTTTTATTTTTCTCCCAAGATCAGCCACTATGAGGACATGCCCGACCTAACTCTAGGCCTCCAAGCGCGCCCCAGGAGAGGTCGACGATTCGCCTCGAAGTCCTGGTCAGAGAGCGCCCCAGGAGAGGTCTGGGGAGCAGCGGTATCGGTAATTACCCCTTGGTTTCCCCAGGACGAGGTGGATGATTCGCCTTGGTTATTGCCAGGGTTTCAGTGCGGAGGGTGCTCTGGTGTTGGTGTCCAAGGTTTCAGTGCGGAGGGTGCTCTTGTGTTAAAATGGTACCCCTATCCCCGACCTCAAATAATGTTCAAACACGCTGGTGAGCGTGTTTTTTAGTGGTTTTCAATGTCGCCGTGTTCCCCCCTGTGTTGTTTTTTTTTTCTCAGTTGTGGGATTCTCGTTCGCGCCGTTTTCGATTCGGGTGCCCAGGATTTGCAAGACGGCTAGATCACCTGGAGATCCTGGAACATACTGGAATGATGACATGATTCTCGTTTTAGAGGCGCAGCCCAAACTTACCCCTTCACTTCCGACCACCACGGAATTGAGGCATAACTTGTTCTTTAGAGTTTGCAGTTTACACGTTTACTCATGGAGCTTAGACGCGAGGTCGGCCGAATTCAACCATGTGCATATGGAGACTCTGGGCTTGTCATCGGTTGACAACTTTTCATGACCATCGGCCCCGACCAAAACAAATGATCCTGGCGAGGGGTGCCCAACACTATGGAACTGTGAGTACTGCGATGTGGGTACCGCTTTCGGTGGAGCCCCGTATGGGCCACGAAACGTGTGAGGTATGTGTGTGTGCCGAAATCGGCGCGGTGGTGCCATGCGAGCGTTAGTGTTGGGGCCTTCGGTGGAGCTCCCTATGGGGCCACGAAGCGTGCGAAGGGTGTGCTGACATGGCTGCGGTGGCCACGGGGGCCCTCGGTGGAGCTCCCCATGCGGCCACGGTGAGGTGGTGCCATGCGAACGCGCCCTTCTGGGGCCACGAGGCTTCTGAGGGGTGTGCCATAATCGGTGCGGCGGTGCCGTGCAAGCGTAGCCCCTGTGCCTTCGGCGAAGCTCCCTATGGGGCCACGAACCGTGTAAGGTGTGTGTGTGTGTGTGTGTGTGTGTGTGTGTGTGTTTGTTGACCGTTGTCGGCAACACCACTTCGCTCTCCCTCCGGGACTTCGCCCCCGGCTCCTGTCCAAGGCGTGCCTTTTCTTGTGCAAGCTCTTCGGCACCGCCTGTGCTCCGCACCCTCCGGCCGCCTGAAGCCCCGCCCGCCCGCGCCCTGTCTCCCCAATTAGTGCTTCGCGCGCCCCGCCTTACTCTTAACCGGCAGAGGCCCGCTCTCGACCCGCCGGCCAAAAAGTGTGTGTGTGTGTGTTTGCCGAAATGGGCGGGGTGGTGCCATGCGAGCGCAACTGTTGGGGCCTTCGGTGGAGCTCCCTAAAGTGGGTGCGGTGGTTCCACGCGAGCGACGATGGGGTGTGCGACAATGGGTGCAGTGAACGCAGCCACACGGACCTTCGGTGGAGTTCCCTACGAAGTCACAAAAAGTGTGAAGTTCGTGCCGAGATCGGCGCGGTGGTGCCACGCGCGCATCCAATGGAGCTTTCGACGGTGCTCCCTCTGGAGCAACGAAACGTATGAGGGGTGCCGAGATGGGCCACAGGGTATTCGGCAGAGCTTCCTATGAGGCCTCGAAGCGTGTGAGGGGTGTGCCGAAATCGGCGCGGTGGTGCCATGCGAGTGCAGCCACTTGGGCCTTTGGTGGAGCTCCCCATTGGGCCACGAAGCGTGCAGATGGTGTGCCGAAAGCGGCGCGTGGTGCCAGGCGAGCGCAGCTATTCGAGTCCTCGGCGGAGCCTCTTATGGGGCGACGAAACGGGTGAGGGGTGTGCCGAAGTGGATCCGGTGGTGTCTTGCGAACGCAGCCATAGGGCCTGTCGGTGGAGCGCCCTTACGGGGCAACGGAACGTGTAAGGGGTGTAACAACATGGATGTGGTGGTGCCATGCGAGCGCAAGAATTGGGGCATTCGGTGGAGCTCCTGGTGGGGCCACGGAGCGTGTGAGGGGCGTGCCGAAATGAGAAGGGCTATGGCGGGGAGGGGAGCCCGGAGGAGGGGGAGGAGGAAGGAGCGAGACGCGGGATTCT